CAGGCCTGAATCGTGTCAGGAATCATGTGCAGCCAGGGGGCCATCTCACAGGTGGATTGCAGTGCGTCCAGAAAGGCTCTGCTAGCATACAGCGCAATGAGGGCGGAATGGCAAGTTCAGGCAGTGCGGCGCAGTTCATGAAGGCCGAAAAGTACTTGACTTTACACAGGCCAGTGCAGCACAAAGGTGAACTTCCAAATTTCTTCGATCATTGTGTTCGAGATGGGCTCTGCGTGAGTTGAAGTGCGCGTATTCTCCATGGAGCTGAGACAACCTTGGCCCCTGGGTGCAGGCAATTCGGTATTAAGGTCTTTGAGGCATGCTGCTCTCTGACGCAAATAGGAGCAACTAATCACACTAGCAACCAGTTAGCCCCGCAAGCACAACTCCGGCCTCGAGCCTTTGAGAAATGTGCAGCCTTGCGCCACCTCAACCTGGAAAGGACAGAGAATGACCCCACTAACCCAAACCGATGCTTGCCTGAATGCTGTTTCTTGGAAGCAGGCATCGTCCCGCCAGATTTTAATTGGGTTGGGCCAGCAGCCTGTGCACATTGCTAACAGCTTCAGATTGTTGGGATCCCTCTTGACGAGATAGGCATGCCAGCCAAGACCACAGGAAGCATGAAGTTGCATTTGCGCAACGATGGGAAAGCGGCTATTTCCATTTCTAAAATGGAGGGTTTGCTTCGACGTGTCAAGCACATGGAACTGCGAGCACATTATGTGAAGTACCTCCATTGACGACGTCGCTTGACCTTGGAACACTGGGAAGGTGTTTCCAACCCGTCCGACGGTCTCACGAAAAGTTGCAAGCTCATCGAGATGTGGCTGAACCTTTGCAATGCTGTAGGACTGGTACCTGGTTTGGATCAAGATAAGTCAGCATTGTTGAGGGGTTTGTCTCGAGACGACGATGACGACGAACTTCCGACCAGTGAACGTTCAGTTCGAGAAGGGGAGTATGCTCATCGTGCGTGTTTCTTGCATTTTTCCTCCGTTGGTGATCGGAAAGGTGACGGAAGATTTGGGCATTGTGCCTGCTGAAGGTTGAACTTTGTCGATTGTACTTTTTCCGGAACAGTTTTCCAAAGTCAAAATTCGTGTTTGGAAAGTTTCTGAATCTGTTTTGTGTGTTTTCGTTGCTGTCCGTCTGTGTTCGGATCTGTCCGGATGAGTTCGGAAGAGTTTCGGTTGGTTTGTGAGTGCAGCATGTTGGATTTGGAACCTTTCGTTGTGTCAACAGAACTTTAGTGGAAGGACGTGTCCGAGAGCAGTCGTTGAGGTCCGACTAGGTTCGGAGGTGTAGGATGACTGTTTCTTGTTGATTTAGGAGCCTTCTGTTCTGTGGTGCAGTGTTTTGAGTTTTTCCGAATTTGCTTTTTGCATGCAGTGTGGAATCTGGATGATAAGCATTCACTGAGGAATTCAGTTTGCTTCCCCGAACGTCCGGATAGTTACCTCTTTCCTAAGGAAATTGAGACGCTTGAACTGTAGAGACTTTTGCTGTGACCTTCCTTGTTTGGACTGCTCTCCTCGTCTTGAGACAGTGGAACTGAATGATGACCGCCCGCCGCCGTTTTTGTTTAAGAAGGCAACAGAAGGAAGTCCACTGGCGACCTTGTCCCAGGCGAATGGTTTTTCGTTTGTGGTTTGAGACACTGAAACCGTTGATGTACGCTGCAATAAGGAGTCGCGAACCATGAGTAGCAGTAGCAGGGGTTTTGAGTGTCAGGCATGTCCAGTTGTTTGGTTTTGATGCCAGGGATTGCAGGGTTGAGACGCCAGAGAATGACAGTTTGAGACTTCAGTTGTTGCAGAGTTTTTGGAATCAGTTGTGCAAAAGGGTTTTGAATATTCTTCTTTTCAGGGTTGTAGCGGTTTCGAGGGTTTTAGAACATCTGTTCCTTTTGGTTTTGTGTTAAGATGTTTGTTTTCTTTTGCCGTGTGCTGTTTGGCAGAGCAAGGGTTATGCTTGGTTTCTGTGATTCATTTGCTCAATTCATCAGCTTGCCGCGCAAGCATCGCTGTGTGAACTTCGAGTTTCGATTTGACCCGTTTTGGAGCCAGCGTGACTGACATGGAGCGCCCCCCAGAGACCACCGCCGTGGTGCGGGAGGAGGGTGAAGCGGCTGTGCCGGCCGCGGCCGACGGTGTACCAACACCGAAAGCGGCTGGTCCCCATGTACCACCAGCTGGTGCGGCGACCGATTTGAGCTCCTTGAGGCCATGCTGTCTGAGGGATCTTGACCTTTTGATGTTTGTCTTGCTTGGTTGAACCTTGGTTGATTGGTTGATCTTGATGGGAACTTGCTTGGAGCTTGTCGTTCTTGATTTGTTGACGTTTGATCGACCTGGAGACCAGTTTGGACCACAGGAGTTGAGATCTTAGTTGATGCTCGAACCTTAGTTGCTCAGAGAAAACGAATTGAAGAGAAGAAGAAGACAAGAAGACCAGGAGAAGGTACGAGGTGACCCAAGAAGGGGTGTGAAAAGTGTGGGTAGCACGCCTGTACAGTGTGTGGTACCTCTGTGTAGTGGAACTTTTCGTTTTTCTGTCCTTGGGGTTGGAGCTGAGTAGGGATCCCTAAGTATAGAGCTGTAGTGCTTTGGATGAGCTGTGTATAGCCTAGCTTTGCTTGAGAGTGTTTGGAGATGCTTTCTTGTACTTTGAGTATGTTGTGGACGACTGTGACCAGTCAGACCTCTTCAGAGAAGAGTGGACGAACAGACATACAGTCAAACCGACTGTTATGTTTGGCTGAAGAGCGGGATTCAAAAAGGGTTCGCTAACGCTTCCGTGTTTTCACATGTTGCCCACTGCGCCAGTCGACAGCTCAACTTGGCTCCCTGAGAGCGTTTTGAAACTTTTGCCTTTCTGTGACTCCCGTGGCAAAGCTGTTCTTGGAGTCACCGTCGCAGCGTGGATGTGCAAGTTTGCCGCTCCCCCTCCCTCTAGGGGGGGCGATGTCGGCCTGCCAAAACTGTGCTTGATCGCACCTCCCTACCTCCTGACACCACGGCTCCACTGTCTCATGATTTCGATGATTTGAAGTCCTCGACTGCTGAAACAGTTGTTTTCCCTGAGCCGCATGTGTCCTGCATCCTGGTTCGACATATTCTCTGTGACTTGCGTGATGCCGAGTACGGTTGTGTTGTTTGCCTTTGCTGAAGAAGGCCCTCCACGCAGACTTGCAACCCATGCCTTGCAACACAGTGCCCTGATTGATGAAGCCCCATTTGAAGTATGGTGCCTCGGCTCCAGAGCTCATCGCACGAAGGACACAACAGATTTCGAAAGCCGAGGGGAAGTCAAATTGCCTCTCTTGGGTGGAGAGCAGACAAGGACCTGATGATGAAGTACTGAGCGCACCGGATGAATTCATTGCAACCTTGCAGTTTGGGGTGTGGTTCTGTTGCTTGGTGTGGTTTTTTCTGTTTTCTGTTTCCTGCTTGGTTCGCATCTCTCTTGTTGCTAGCCTAAGGTGACTTGTGCATCCTCTGCACACATAGCGCCTCGACCCATGCAAAACTTTCGATGATTTGAAGTCCTCGTCATTGCCGTTTTCCTTGAGCCTCATGTGTCTAGCAGTCCAGTTCCGACAATTTTGCAGGCAAAAACTCGAGTGATGCTGGTTTTGAGTGTGTCGATTGCTCTGTTTGAGCTGCCGCTCAAGCACTTTGTGACTACAAGCTTTGCAACACCGCGCTTGGCTGAAGAAGCCTCATTTGAAGCATGGCATCTCGGCTGCAGAAACCATTGCACGAAGGATTCAAAAGACTGTGACTGCTGCGCGAGTCTGCTGAACAGCCATTTCTTGTGAAGATCACACAATGACGTGATGATGACGTACTGAGTGCAAAGGCTGAATTCATCGCCCCTTGTCTCATCTTTCTCAACTGGCTGACATGGCCGACTCGAGTTGCGAACCTGGCTTTCGGTTTTCTGGGTTTGGGTTGTGTTTGGTGTTTGTTGTGTTTTGGTTCGGTTTGTAACTCTCTCTTCACTAGTCTAAGGTGACGCCTCGGCCCGTGCAAAAAAAGCGCCTCTGAGAATCCTCCGCCAAGCAGTAGAAATGGAGCGCAATGAAAGACTCACTGTCAATCTGTATTGGATCTTTCACATGCTTCTCCCTGGACTCCCATGTGTCCCTAGCCGTTGCTGTTTGGACAACACGCTTTTTGAGAAAAGAGGCTGTTTGAGCAACACGCCCTTGTGAATCGTTCAGCAGACAGTACAAATGGAGGGCCATGAAACTATATTATGTAAGCATTTTTGAACTAAAACTACAAATTCGAACAACACGAGGTAATTGCAATATGTTAAAAATCTAGAGTCAGCTATTCCAAATATTGTGTTGGAAATAGAATTGTTATGCAATTGTAGACAAACTTTATACACAGATTACATATACCACAGTTGATTTAATTTTTGAAATCCACATATGTATAGCTTGGACACAATTGTGATGATAACAAAGTGTAACAACAAGATTTAAGATTGTATATGCTCAAGAAACGATTAATCCCGCCAAGAGACCCCTCAAATCAATAGCCGCTCTAATGACTTATGTTTTACCCTTTCTTTGTGTAAACACTTCTGATAGAGTAGCACTGAAACCATGGTGCCCATTGCACTCTTAAAGTAGCATGTTTGGACTTGGACTCACACAACCACGTTCCATGTTGTGGAAAACGCAGCTGTTTTGACAGCTACATGGCCAACACAGTTGGCACCAGGTGGGGAGTTGGGGCTTTGGGATAACACCAGTATCCGTGAAGGGGCATTTTGTCAATCTCTTTTGGATCAGAAGTCAGTTAGCACATGCAAGAACTCTTTGTGTCAATGGTGGTATTGGACAGATGATCAGAAATGCTTTGCTTGCACAGAGGACTTGGAAACACTAAGGTAGCCAACATCTTCTATGTTTGATCAGGATTCAGCCAACTTTATGTCCATCTAAAAATAGACTTTTCTTCGTGCAGGGCATCGCGAAAGTGATGCGGTTGATAGGCAGGGCAGGGTTGGGTTTCGGGGTGCGTTCCAACCAACCAGCGGGCCAGCCTATTTCTGCACATCGGACACTCATCAGGAACTCGCTCTAGATTAATTTTGCCGCGACCAGAGGCTCCCTTGGCGGCAGTGGTGGTGGAACTGCGACATCAATTCAGTGTTGAACGTCCTTTGAGATCATTGGCTGTCTTATTTTAGTAAGAAGACCGTGAAGTTTGCTTCAGGCTTCCCGTTCCTCAGTTCCTTTTTGGGCGTTGCCGCCAAGAGAAAGGTCTGTGATTTCTGCCGCGAGGATGCTTGCGTGCCACGATTCTAGCCGCTTTAGCCACCTTGGCCTCTGCTGGGGTTTGGGTGCCCTGGTGAGGTCGCTCCATCAACTGGGTTGAAGATGTTGAAGTCCCTTCCGTCTCTGCGTGTTCTTCCTTTGTTTGACAAAGGGGACCCTTTTGCTAACCAATGCTGTTACTGTTCCTCCAGAGAGCTTGACGAAGTGGTTCTCCTTCGCTGCTTCAATACACTTCAAACGATTGAATCACTTTTCACCTCAGCGTCCTCCAGTTGACCATGCTTGGCACCCATAACGACTTGGAACGGCTGGCCATCCCCTCGAACTGAGGTGAAGGGCTTTGGCATCGTTTTTGATGCTGGGGAGCCCGGATGTGAAGATGGAATCAGACAGTCTGGCGGACCTGAAGAAGCCTCCGCAGCTTTCGTTTTGGAGTTGCCCAACACGAATCAGATCTAGCCGTGTAAATGTGTTGGAACTTCAATTGGTTAAGGTGAAAGTTTTTCGCTGCAGGAACCTTTATAAACCCTAAGCCTACCAATTCGGCGCCTTTGAACTCTGGGTGCAGCTTGGCTATCGTGCGTTCATAGTGTGAATACTAGAATGGACAACCACAGAAATCGACAACGATGCGATTCGTGGACAAATGGATTTAAAGATAAGACTTGAACGGTGCGGCGGTAAAAAAAAATTGAAAGCATCTCCCGTCCCGCCTGGCTCCGTGCATCGGGGCTCGAACACTATCGTGCATTGTGTCACACTTCGGTTTTCACCCGACATTCCTCTTTCCGAGCCTTCTTTCTTCAGGTGGAGTCGATTCTTTTTCAAGAAAACACATGTTTCGACACAATTCGTACACCCCGAAGATCTCAGGTCGAGCCTCCTCATGGCTCCACGGCGGGCGGCACGGAGCTGCACATCACGGGCGCTGGCTTCGCATACGTGACACAGGTGCCATTTGTGAGCTGCGGGAGGTGCGAGGTGGGAGGTCTGAGGTCAAGAAAGAACAGGGTCATGAGGTCATGAAAGTTTCACCCCAAAAAAGAACCTAAGAAGGCAGCTTTCGTACCTGCTGTTGGTGTAGGTGTTGTCACTGCCAAACACAGAATGCGAAACAGCACTTGGGACGAATTCCGTTTTGAGTTTAGGAAGTGGAGCGAAATGGGTTTAGGATAAGGAAAAACCATGGAGTCCATCGGTCTGGCGTTCCGGTTTTGAGATTCGGCAAGTGACGGGGCTGGACGCAGCGGACGAGCGGACGGACTTGCGCATTCGGACCAACGGAATCGGTTTTGGGAACGGAATCGGTGTGGGAGGAAAGGAACCTGAAAGCTCTTGGTCCATTGCTTCGAGGAAAAACTACCAACCTTCAAGAGGTTGTGCTTCATGTGGTTTGGACGTTGAAGAAGTTAAGCTATCTCCAATGGACTTTGTTCCTAGAGGTTGGATCGAGCTCTCTTTTGTGGTGAAGGGGAGATACACCGATATTTTAGTGCATTGTTCATTCTGGCCAGGTGCTTATTGGCGGAAAAGAATGTCAAATTTTCGAGCCGATGACGAAGGCACGAGCCGGCACGGGTGAGCGTTCCACAAGTTCCACAAGTTCCATATTGACCTATGCATCTGATAGCACAAGGCATGACCCCCTGCTTCCTCTGGTCTTGAAATTCTCCAGGGGCCCGTTTGAATTCACAACAAACCCTCACCTTTGCCTCTGGAAGGCCACTGGCCGAAAGAGATTTACCAGGGATGGCCTCCAACCGGGCTCCAACCTACTAGCGATGGCGTTCAACCTACTACCGATGGCCTCCAACCTAATAGCGGGGAGAAATCAATCCTTTATGGCAATAACGTTGTTTTCAGTCACGAGACTATATAGCTGAGCCATTTCGGCACAGCTGCGGGAAGCATTCTCGGGAGGATGGTGAGTTGACTTGCTATTCACCAGCCTTGCCACAGCGTCCAAGCCTCACATGCCAACAGGGAACAGTGATTTGGTGACTGAGATGCTTCTACTTCTAGGAGCAAGGACGCTACTAGGAGCAAAGGGCATCGCTTCTAGGAGCAAGGACGCTACTAGGGGCTCCTGGCCTTACTACTAGGAGCAAGAAGCTTCTAGGGGCTCCTGCTAATAGGGGCTGCTGGCCTTACTACTAGGAGCAAGGGCTCGTGGCCATACTACTAGGAGCAAGAAACTACTAGGTGCTCCTGGCCATACTACTCCTGGCCATACTACTAGGAGCAAGAAGCTACTAGGGGTTCCTGGCCTTACTACTAGGAGCAAGAAACTACTAGGTGCTCCTGGCCTTACTACTAGGAGCAAGAAGCTACTAGGGGTTCTTGGCCTTACTACTAGGAGCAAGAAACTACTAGGGGCTCCTGGCCGTACTACTAGGAGCAAGAAGCTACTAGGGGTTCCTGGCCTTACTACTAGGAGCAAGAAACTACTAGGTGCTCCTGGCCTTACTACTAGGAGCAAGAAGCTACTAGGGGCTCCTGGCCGTACTACTAGGAGCAAGGACGCTTCTAGTTACTTTATGAAGTCTTTTTTGACACATGGCCTTCGACGTTTGGCCGCCTGGCCTGCTGAGTTCGTGGACGCCGCAGTGGCCACGAAGTGGAAGTGTGGTTTACGTCAGGCACCGTAGAAGGGGGCACTGAAGGCATTCTGGAGAAACCGGATGTATTGGTTGTCTGGTTGAAGAATGTTCCTTTTTCGCATTATTTTCCGAAGTGTTTCACCTCACATCCCAAATTAGAACTGCACAGCTGGGGTGTCATAAAGCACATATGGGGGGTGGCAGAATGGATTGCAACATCTTCCTTTGAAGACACATCCAGATGTTCAACATGTTCAATCCCACATGTTCAACATGTTGTCTTCTTGCGACACATGTTGCAGGTCACCGCGCTCAATGGCGCGGGAAGCTCTTCAGGACTTATGAGAGGCACTTGAGCGCGGAGTGAGTGGAGACCCCCAGTCAAAGCCGAGTCATTCCAAAGCCGAGTCATTCCAAATTCGATTTGATGTTTGGAAGACTTCTTTGCCTCCGCCCCTGCAAACACTTGGGAAGAGTTTGGGGTGTGTGTACCTGACATGCTTGTGTATGTTCGTAGGCCGCGAGGACTGAACACTTGACAGATTGAAGCAATGACAAGTTTGGCAGGTTTTGCATAAAGACTCTCAAGCCTGTTGGTTTCACCACTTTGATGGCTTTGGTGAGCCTAGAAGAAGTTGTGGGAACTTTTCCCATGTTTTGTGGAGACGTGGACAGATCCTTAAAGCTGTAAAGATGACAGTTTCGGCCGCCATTGCAAGTGCCTCAATCCCTAGCATTTGCCGTGTCAGATTCACGCCATTTATCAATTATGTGCGACAGCAAGCGCTGCCTGTCATGAACAATGCTCGGGGGCCTCAGCGCAAAACAGTGAGTTGTGCAATGTCTTCGGATTCGTCCTGCGCCGGGTTTGGAGCCTTAACGATCCAAGCACTGAGGTGAGCTGGAGTGGCGATCTCCTGAAGGAACTGGAATTGAACCAGCAAGAAATTTTCCTAGACACAGGCGGAGTTAGTCTCCCTCCTCTGGATTCTGTTGGATTCTGTTGGCTTCAAACTTTTGCTTCCCGAGCTCAGCCTGTCGAGGTGAAAAGCGTAATGCTACGGAGATCATGCATGCCTACTTGGGCACTGGCATTGAAGTATTGGCAGACAAAGGCGGGGTGCTGGTATTGGTGCAAACGTGAACTCAGCGCTTTGTGACATGTTCTCATTCCTTCCCAGAGCTCAGCGACCAAGGGGGAAGAGAGGAGTTCCGCTGCGACATCATCGAGACACCCACGCGTTATGATGGAGCTGGGGTTCCCAAGAAGCCGCAGCACATTTGGTTTGGCAGGGACATCAAACAGGGCTTGCACAAATGGCCAAGAATGAACATGGACCAACATGGAGATCCATCAGAGTTCCCTCATGAGACGACATCGATGTTAAGCCCGCCTTTGGCACGTCGGACAGCTTCCAGGTGTGCGAAGTGGCTGTGGGAACTCCAGCAGGTCGGTACTCCGTTGGAAGAGAACCGAGCGACTTTGTTTCGCAAAGTCGGAAGAACCGTTTTGAGATGACTCCGTTTTGGGCTCAGGCTCAGCACTTGTCATCGGCAGGTTACTACAACTTCACTTATGTGATGCAGGATGGAGAAACTGGGAATGGCCATGGGCGAAATCGTTGGGATGTGCCTTGGTCGAAATCGTTGCGAGCACAGCATGTGTGACGGCCACGAGGCCGCCATTCGGTGAAAAGATGTTAAAAAGTAGAAAGAGTATGCACTAGTCACTAGTTTATACTTGTGACAAGGCACGTACATATATAGACAGACACACACACATATATATATATATGTATATATATATATTTTTGGTACCCCCAAAAAAAACCTATGTTCACATCACTTTTGCTGGTATTTGCAATATTTTGTGTCTATTTTGGGTTGCGTCAAGTGTGTGCCGATGATGCTGTTCAAGGGCAACGTATGGACCAAGTACTCTGGAAGCGCAAGTTGGCAGACTTACTGCAAGCCAGTGACACCCAACTCATCAAACTACTTCGTCAAGATGGGCTTCTACAAGATTGGACAGGCAAGAGATGCCCTCGATGTGACAAGGGCACATTGTCAAAGCTTCAACCCAATGTTGACCACGGGATGCCTAGACATCGTTGTAATCGGTTTGGTTGTCAGGCATACCTCAATACTCACCACCTGCACCCAATCTTTGTGGACGGAAGAGGTGCTAGCCACACACCTTTGCAGACCCAGTCCGCCTTGCTCTTCTTGCTTCTCAACCGAGTGTCGCACCCTGCCATCCAACGCATTCTTGCTCTCAACCGCAAGGCCATCGAAGATATGGAGAAGCGGCTGAATCATCTTCGCAAGGGCTGGGTGGAAGAGAAGGAGCAGTCAATTATCTTTGGAAATGGCAAGGATTGGATAGATGTGGAGGCAGATGAAGCCACCTTCTCAAGCACAGACCTGAAGCAGTTGGCCGACAACCCAGAGCAGCCCATTATCTGGGAACAGTGGTGTGGCATTGTGCAGCGGGGTTCTCCACACACACTCCTTTTGAAAAGGTTATCTCCCCAAACGTCTGCTCGGAGAGCGCCTGGTCCAGGTGCAATCAGGAACATGGAGCGGCGTCCTCTAGCCACTAAGCACCTCCAGGATCGCGCTATCGTCCTCCACACGGACGCCGCCAAGTCGTACAAGCTGAAAGTGAGTGGCGTTCTCCACGACCAGGTGCGGCACTGCAAAAAGCGTGTCAAGGTCAAAGGCAAATGGGTGTGGAAAATGCCTACTTATGTGAAGATTGCCACCCATAAGGACCCAAAGACTGGTCGCCAATTCAAGACCAAAGGCGGTACCCAGATCATTGATCGTGCCTGGCGCTTTCTTAAAGATCGGATTCAATTGAATCAACATTGCCGGGTAGGGAGTCCTCTTTTGCGGTTGAAAATCCGCAGTGCACAGTATGAGTACTGGCACAGAAATTCTGATCTGTGGACTGCCTCTGGTATCTTGTGCACTTGGCACTTTGCCAAGTGAACTTTGTCTGCCTGCAAGGGAAAAATGCATCTGCAAAATACGTCTGAGAAATGTGTCTGCAACATTCTTGTTGTCATATCATAACATCTGTCTCTGGCGCATCGCAAAATCAAATGGAGTAGCACCAGGACTCAAAAACATAGTTTGTTTTTTTTTCTGGGGGGGGCTAGCATATATTTATATATAATATAGGTAATATATATATATAGTGTATACATATACGGTTTATAGTATTATATAATAGAATAGAAAAAACAATAATATAATACATAATGTATAATGTATAGTATACAATGTATAATACAAAAAATATATTATATATATATATATATTAATATACAGTATATATATATATATTGGGCTACCCGACCCGATTCCGCTTGCCTGTTGTTATAGGCCAGACGTGGGTTTTTTTGTTCCAATGCAGTGGCGGGGCCTTTGACCAGGTTGATGGCCTTCCTTTGGTGAACCTCGAGGGCCGGGAATATGTCTTGGAGGCTGGGAGACGGAGGCCAAACGTGACGCACGGGTTGGACATCAAACGAATCAAACGTGCCAAGGGGCCAAGGGTTGGACATCTAGACTTGTCACGCGACAAGTCTGAGACTCGGGAGGTCTTCCCAACTCTGCAGTCCTTGAAGACCAAGAAGGCGGGAAAGAAGGCAGTTTGTTTCTCCAATGTCCTCTAAGACTGACCACATCTTGGTAGAGGATGGCAGTGGTTGGTACGCGAACGATCATCAATGATCACATGTTTATTGAGAGCTCACCCTTTCAGATGCAGTGTCAGGTGGGGCGTCTTGGTGGCAGCCTGATCACGCTGGAGGCCAACGCCTTGGAAATCGGCAAAGGTGACTTCGCCTCGCGCCACGAGGCTGGGGAAACGGGGAGAGACGACGAAAAGGCGCATCGTCGCGGCGTCTTGAAAAGCGTGGCCTGCAACCCAATAGCGTTTTGGCCTCCTCTACTAGCGTCCTTGCTCCGTTCGCAGTGATGCCAGGAGCCCCTAGTAGCAAACCTTGTTCCTATGAGTCAGGCCAGGAGCCCCTAGTAGCTTCTTGCTACTAGTAGCGATGGCCTCCAAATCTACTAGCGTTTGTACACTTCGCTTGGGACGATGGCCAACAAAAGCTGGTTCGATTTGCTGAATCCAATTTGTGAGGTTCTCATCGATGGCGTGCCATGCGAAGTCAAGGAGCACTGAAAGGGACTGCGGAGCACTGCGGAGTTGCTGTGGGACCCCAAAAAGGAGCTGGGAAATCCTTACAGAGAAGCTTCCAGCCTAGTGTTTCCGTCAGCTTCTTCCAGATTTTGTACCAGTTGGATGCCTTGCCTGGTACCAGTGCTCAGTCACCCTGTCCTCCAGCGCCTTCCAGCTCAGTGCAGGACATGTTGAAGAGAGGCAACAATCAGGCCGATTCGGAGTCTCCCACCAACCCGTTGGAAAATCTCACGAACATCTTCTCTGTGTTGTTGCCTCTATTTCTATCATTGGTGGTGCAAGATCTTCGGTCTAGATCATCCACCTCTATGTATACCTTTCTTGACGATTTTTGGAACTCTTCGTTTCTTGACGCTATTAGGTTAGAGTTGGAGGCCATTGCTCTTAGGTTGGAGGCCACGCGCCTTCTTCGTTTCTTGATGCCAAATGAACAGCGCCTTCCTGTCGCTGTCAGTCCGTCAGCTGTCTGGCGGGGAAGCTCAGCGAACGTTCCCCCGTGTGGCCGAAGCGCCTCCCCTTGGGCAGCTGGGCAACGGCCCGGACCTCAGCTCCGTCAGTGTGGACGGCGTCCCCCCGTGGGATGGCGGAGGCCAGCCTCGGCCCAGCATGCGGACGTTTCGGTCTGACTGTTCAGTTCCCAGACGGTTCCCTCGGTCCCACGTTTCCCTCGCTCCAAGCGTTTTGGACGTCTCAAGATGCTCTGAATGCTCACGGCCTACGAAGGATGCAGTGAAACAGCATCCAACACGATTCCGATTGAAAGCGCTTGTGCGACCTGGGATCAAGATTCTGTGGACAATGCTTTTGATATGCTTTTGAGGCCATCTGATCCAGTCACATCACTTAATCCATCTCAATTCCACAAGCTTTCTAGATCTTTAGAGGCATGAGCTGGAGGTGCCAAACTCACATGTCCGTATAGACAGCACGTGTGCCAAACGGTCAAATCGTTTGAAGCCGCCAACTCTGAGCCGAGGCTTGGCTGCGCTCAGAGCGCATCGGCCCGGGCCCAGGGCCGCTTGGAGGTGAGTACAGCGGTTGGCAGCGCAAGAGATCAGTAGCGATGCACTTGTTCCGTTCGTAGCTTCTTGTTACTACTAGTAAGGCACCTGTTACTACTAGCGTGGCACTTGTTCCTAGTAGCAAACCTTGCTACCAGCAAGAATGCTCCCAGTAGCGATGCCAGAAGCCCCGTTCACAGCGTCCTTGCTCCTAGTAGTAGGGCCAGGAGCCCCTAATAGCGTCCTTGCTCCTAGTATCGGAAAAAACACCTGTGGTCTCTTCGAATCACTGGAGAAAAGAGAAAAAACGATTGAGACACACATTGCACCAGGGTTTTGGGATGAGAGACCGGGCTGTTTGGACTTGGTAGGGTTGAAGTATGGTTTGGGCGCAGACGAGACTTGCAAGTCCGCAGTTCCAGAAGAGCTGCTTGTGAATCATTAGAACATGAACAACTAACTGATCCACGGTTTTTGGATCGAGACATGGCTCCTTAGCACATCCGGCATGGTGGAAGAAGGTCAGCGTTGTGCGCCGAGGACTTTTGCCATAGGGACGCCTTCACGGTCAGTCCAAAGAGCCTGGCAGATCAGCGACCGAATGGAGCGCCTGGGATGGTGGAGATGTGAAGGTTGGGAGGTTAGGTTGGAGAAGTCCATGCCTTTGGGATCTTTGGGTCTTTGTCCTCCCCATTCTCCTTCACACTGACTTGTTCATGGTGCTTTGGCAACTTGCCCGAATAGGATTAGAGAAGCTGACCCACTTGCAGTGTCCTTCTGGTTTGCCCTATTTTTGTTTCTGGAGCACTGGGAGGAGTGATGCAAGAACACTGGTGCCTCCCTGCAGGTGCCACTCCGTCACTCTTCGCTTTTCAGCGCTTCCGATCCATGTGTCCTGAGGTTACTTCATGAGAAGGTCCAGTGCAATGGAGCTCGCTTTGGATTAGGGACCACGCATAGCCTTCAGGACCCAACGAAGCGAAGAAAACGCTTCGAAAACGGCTTTGGGGCGTAGACCGAACGAAGCTTTCGGAGCGAAGACGGTGACGTTGCCGCGTGGCCTGTCTTCCCCTCTTGGGGAGAAGTAAGACCAATTCAGTGAACAGCAAAACCGCGCGGGCTGGCAGGAGTGCGCGGACAACTGCTTCTGGATGAACTGTCGAGTTTTTGACTTCAAGCGAGAGGTGGGCTGGTGCACTTGGTGTTTAGACCTGAACGACGATCAGACGGACGTGCTGCCGCTTGGAATGCAGCTGCTCGAAAACATGCAGGGCTTGGAGTATCATGGGATACGATATGATATGGAATAGCTTTATCCACTGCGATATGATATGTTATGATATGAATGAGATATGATATATAACTATATATATATAAGCTTGCATGCTGGGAACAAGGAACAACATCGCATGCATTGCTAGTGTGCACAACATGGTACTGCCAATGAAATCCAATAATAAAGGCCTTCTCCCATTTGTTAATTATTAGATATTTGGATGAGGCTAGCTCCATCGAGTCTCTCTCCGCAATTTCGGGAGTTCACACCTGCGACGGCTTGCTTGAGTGAACAGGAGCAAAAGGTTCACAGACCCTGGTAGGTCCTGCAGTCACTTGTCCAACCGTATAGGTTGCTTGATCAGGTCCACCACTTCGTCGCGCCGGCGGAATTTTAAGACTGCATCAGTGGGAGGAGAGGAATGAGACCATCCGGCTGGAATCAAACACTTCGAGTGATGGAGGGGATTTGGAACTGTGCGAATGCCATCGCCCCCAAGCACCACTTCCGACCAGATTTGCTGGGAAGTCATAGAGGATGATCTCTGTAGATAGGGACCATTGAGAAGCTGGAAGCGACTCCAGTGACTAGAGTTCGTCTTCAAGACACTGGTCCATCGAAGCAAGTCAAGAGAAGAACTGGAGAATGATTCCAATGTCAGGAGTCTATCGCTTAGCCACGACGATGGAGAAGTACTTGATTGACGAAGTGAAGCAAGGCTGGGTTGGGGCCGGCTGGGCCAGCTGGGCGTTGGGGAAGTGACGCAGACGAGCTGTAGCTTGTAGGAGCCACAGGAGCTGTTGAAACTGTCGTGAGTCACGGTCTTCAAGCCTTGTGCAAAGCTGTCGTGACAGCTATGGACGCATGAGTGTGGTGCCCTGTTTTCATAAACTTCAGGCCCCAATTGGAAGATCCTTTATGCGAATGGCTTGAGATGTAAAGGCAACTTGGCTTTGGCAAATCGACCTACTCTCGGTCTTTCTTAAGCAGTCAGGGTTGGGAAACAGGGAACAGGAATCCGGAAAAGGGAGCGATGTGTCGCTTTTAGCAATCCCTTGACAGATGAAGCTGTCTCTACCATCTTTCCGACGCTATTACTGTAGGTTGGAGGCCAGGTTGGAGGCCATCGCTCTTAAGTTGGAGGCCATTGCTTCTAGGCTGGAGGCCATGGCTCTTAGGTTGGAGGCCATGCTAGTCCATCGCTCCTAGGTTGGAGTAGGTTGGAGGCCATCGTTGGTAGTAGGTCGGAGGCTATTGCCATTATGTAGGTTGGAGGCCATCGCTAGTAGGTTGGAGGCCACCGCCAGCGGCCATCGCTAGTAACTAGCAGGTTGGGGGCCATTGCTATTGGGTTGGAGGTTTAGGGATTTTCAGTTGATCTCAGAAGCCGTGGAGCTGAGGTAGTGTTCACTATGCCACGGCAACTTTGACTTCGGGACGCTTGACAGGCACGCCTCCTTGAACCTCTATGGAACCATTGAATAAGGTATCAATCCGTTCCACAACAAGTTTTGATGCTGCGTTAGCAATAGACCTGATGGGCAGGTGCTAGCGTGCAGCAGTGCGCAGATTACTGCTCTGCCCACCGGGCCAGTGTCATGGCGAACTCCATTGTGTGTGGCAGTGTGACGAGCTCACGAAATCAGCATGAAGCAAAGTTGAGGTTGTGGAATCCCCCCACTCCAACCGACGATGCATATGACAAATCAAGAAAGTGAGTGAGAAGCAGGGCTCCTTTTGCATGATGCCGATGAGTCATCCCAACAAGAGGATTTGGTCATCCAAAATACCGTTTCCTTCGGATGGTGCCTTTCGCGTCAGATCCCGAAGTGTCCGATCGCACCCTCTGAGACACTCCTGGGGGTCAGTGCAAATACTTTGGCCTCCTCTTCGAAGCCTCGTGGAAGTATGAAATGCGCTGTGCCACTTGGCGAAGTGCGGCCGCTTTTGAGTCGCGACCTGCGCTTTTGTCCGACTTCTTGGTGTAATTCCGGCCACCGAAAAGGAGTATAGAATTCTTGGCAGGTCGCATGTGCACTCCAACAATGGCACCTGAAACATCCTGAAACTATTTGTAGCCCTTAAGGTTTTCTTCAACGACAACAGCGGTTATGGCGACGATGGTGCAGAGTCGGGTGGCCGATCATGAAGCTTGGACAGCAAGTGACACTTCACCTAAATAGGTGGCTGCTTCGCCCATTGGCCAAGCAACATTAAGAAAAAAGAAAGAAGAAGAAGAAGAAGAAGAAGAAGGCAGAGCAAGAAGAAGACAAGCAAGCAGAAAAAAGAAGCAGAAAGAAGAAAGGAGCAGGAACAAGAAGAAGAAGCAAAATGAAGAACCTCCAGCAAGATAAGCTTATCTAAACGAAGTATTGTGCAAAGTTAAAGTTCCTTCTGGAGCACTTTGGCACCAAACTAGAAGTTTTGCAGCGACGCCAGCCTGTGTCGGCGAGCCCTAAACCCAAAACCCTTGAAGATCTGTGCGTGTGTGTGTTTGTGCGCATGTGTGTTTGGCGGGTCTTTGCTTGTGGCCCGGGAAAGAAGTAAGTATTAGGCTCCAAAGATTACTTATTTCGATTTTTGCACTTTTGTGTGTGTGTATTTTTTTTGAGGTTGTGTGATGCATTCCGACACGTGTTGGACAGATAGCGCACCGATAGCACCACAAATACCAATCCTGTGAGAAATAGCTTTGCCTCCCTTCTGGGGCAGACAAGATACGCCAAAAATACCAAAAAGAATCAAACATAACAACAGCGGCCCAGGTCATGTTAGGCACAAGGAAAGTTGCCCACGTTCATTTTGATCATCCATAGCACAAGCCTCTCACAAATTAGTGTTCATTTTTGACCAGAAGGATCTTAACATAAGTGCCTGTAATTGAGTGTGGGATAGAGCTGACAAGGAGCGGGATGAGAAAGAGGCACAGGTATTTTTCATAGCTTTGGGGGTCGAGCCTTGCCACGGCAGTGGCTTTTAGCGTAGATGTGGTGGGCCGCGGGGGGGTGCAGCTCGCTCCTTGGTGGCCATGGAGCTACGACTTTGTCGTTTGGAGTGGACGGCGATCTTCATCATGGCGGCGTTCCTCGTTGGACTGCTTGGGTGTTGACCTACAGCCTGCACACTCTTTCCGCACCATGTCGAGCTAGTCTGCCCCACCCTTGTTGAGATTGAGTGGCCCGGTCCCAAAACTGGTTGGCCCACTGACATCCAATTCTTGCAACAACATGTCTTGACCAGGCGCAGTGGCCATGTCGTTCGTGTTTGTCAGGAAGAACGCATGCTGAAGAGCATCCGTAGTGATGGACTTCGTGTACTTCACTGGGGGCTGGCCACTTCGAGGCAGTTCCATCAGAAATTGGCAAGGAGCTTGAGTTCAGGAGTTTGCTGGGGTGGACCACGAGGTCTTGCTTGACCGTCGTTCCGTTTGGCAGGCGCCTTTTGTTGACTTTTGCCAAGCAATCCGACCAGGGGTTTCCTTGTCATATAGCTCTTTCTTGGGTCAATTTCTAAGACTTCCTGTCCCAATTGCTCCACCAAAACCTTTCGGTTTTCTATGTCTTTGCGCCCCTTTTGGGGAATTTGTCAATTCTGTAGCTACTGTGCCAGGCTCTCAGCTGCGTGTGCCAGGCCCGACAGTGACTGGGATGATGACATGCCTCCGTCCCCCGCATGCCTAAGTATTGGCGTTTGAAAGAAGGATTCAGGACTTCAGCTTCAAAGCCAGTGCGGAATCAGTTCAGGAGTGGCAGCGCACTCTGCGTAGTTTCGGCTCTTGAGGAGTAGGTGGAAGATGGGCAGCCGATGACACGAGAGGGGAAGAGAATGAGGATGTGGCCATCATGTTGACAGTCATGGGGAAGGAGAGTTGCAATTCAGCACAAAGACCAAGCTACAAGAGGCACGAGGAAATCGCATCCCTAGAGGAGCTACCCACCCACCCTGGCCTGAATGGCCTGGTGGCAAAAGTGCAGTGTTCGGTGCAAAGGGCCAGCTGATGCAAGAAGTCTCGAGCTGCTGGCTGCTGAGCCCGGGGACTGGCAAGGCGTCAATCCTGTAAAGAATAGCTTTGCCTCCCTTCCGGCGCGTAGCAAAAATACAAAAGTACCAAAGGCCACCATAAGCGCAAGGACAGCCCATAGCCATAGGACATGTCTTTGTTCGCAAAGCGCAACAATTAAAAACAACACAGCAGTGCAATATAAAACACATGTTTAGGTGCCCACAAGCTCAGCGACTTTTGGCACAATAATATTTTCTATTCGGCTTGGCACCCCTGTCTGTGAGGTACTCCTGAGGCCGATGCTGGGAAGACACGCGTGCTCGATCGACTGAGCATTTGATGGTGAAGACTTGAGAGACGAAACCTTATCTCGCCGCTTTTTCCTTTTCTCTTCCAAAGCAGAAAGTGGAGCGTCGTTGTTTAGGTTATTTACTAGTGCAGAACGCATCCCAATCTATATAGTCAAGTCGAGTCCACGCGAGTACGCCGGGGAAGCCTGCACACTTGCCTGTTGTGAAGCAGTGAGCGGATTTTTGTTTCAAAACCGATGGAGCCGACGGAGGTGGACGGTTGGCGTGGACGTTACTGGACAGTCTTTGAGCTTACGCGGCCGGCGCCCCAATCGCCACCACCTTCAGGGCTTCATCCGGGAGGCGAGTGCGGCGAGTGGAGTGTTTTTCTGGGAGAGGGTGGAGAGATGCAGACAGGGGATGATGCGGCGGATTTGAAGGAGATTGTTGTGGACTCACCTTCGCCGGGAAGACTATGGCCGAACGAGACTTTAAATATAGGGTCACTCTCAATCCTTTTGTTTAACCTTTGCAGCAGGTTGCCAAAGTGCCAAAGTGCGCTCCGAATTATTAACATCAGTGAAGGTTCAATCTCCCTCATGTAAGCGGTCTACTGATCCAGAAACTTTTGTACTGCCCCATCCGCTGTCGTTCTGGCAGGGCGTGGCGTGCTGGTACGTGCTGCTTGGACAGGAGCTGTGGTATTGCCTTTCAATGTTTTGTGGATTTATCGGCTGACCCACCAATTGATTCTGTGGATTTCTGTGGTACGTAGCTAGACTTCCTTCCAAAAGGCTTTCATAAAACCATTTTCAAAGTGAAGATCAGGAGATAGATATTGCTAGTAGTACTTTGTATTGTGGCCGCTGGACCGTGGAACATGGAACAAGCAACAGATACTCCTTATCCACGTGAATAGATGCGCATGTGCTTTCCAACGCTCAGGTCTGGAACCATTGTCCCCCTGAGAACTCCTTCAGTGCTCGCTGCAATGAATGGAGGTGAGCTGTCCGAGTGAATCTGACAGCGATGATGTGCCCTGAACTGTGCAACGGAAATGGCTTCTTTCTTACTTCTCTCTCTTTCCACTCCCAGATTGATGGACTTCACTTCGATTTTGGTCAAAGACCAACATCGATCACTCAAAGATCATCTCAGGTCATCTCAGGTCACTCCAACCTAAGGGCGATAGCCTCCAACCTAAGAGCCAAGGCCTCCAAGCTGATAGCGTTGGGCTCCAGCCGCTTCGGACTGACCCAATGAGGTGTGACGCATCGGTGTCGCATCGGTGTTCGCAGGGCTGGTCTCCAAGCGTTGCATGCCTCACTGAACCCGGAGTACCGGAAGCAGCAGCTCGGTGTCAGCTTGGGTGACGAAGCGAGCGCCTTCCGGCGTGCGTGCGCTTCCAGCGCGGCGTACCGGTCCAGGCGTCCGATGATGGAGACGGTGCGAAGCGATGTGATGCGCGGTGCCTTCGGTGCCTCGGACGGGAGGAGCGATGGCCTCCAAAGTAGATTTGAAGGGATAGAAAACGTTTCAAGCACTTTGGAAGCGAGCTTTGCGGGAACACGCTTCAGTGGGAATTTGCTCCACATCTGGGTGGGACTTTGTGTCAAAAGGTGCACTTGTAGGACTCTGTTCTCTTCTGAGCAGCCTGTTGGAAACATACACATGGACAATCTAGGAGTCATGAGTCAAGCTTATGAAGCCCGCCTTTGGAGCCAGCTTGTAGCCCAGGTGAGGAGCGGGCGGACTTCTCGGGCGATGTGCCGGAGATGATGCAGAGCTACGATCCTGAGGCTGGCATGATTCAGTCTGCACAAATGTCTTGGGCATCGCTACGTTCGTAGCGTCCATGCTCCTAGTAGCACTTTGTTACGTTCGTAGCTTCTTGTTCCTAGTAGTAAGGCCAGGAGCCACTAGTAGCTTCTTGCTACTAGTAGCAAGGCCAGGAGCCACTTGTAGCTTCTTGCTCGAGGACAAAAGCATTTTTGAGATCTTTCTACCAAGCAGATGGAGTGATGGAGTTTTTTGTTCCCTTCAACCAGCCACCGACTCCGACTCCATGTCGAGCACCCGACTTGGCTTTGCTCCGACATCGACGATGTCACGTTCGCAGAGGCACCGTTCAAGACCCTGGCAGAGGCCTCCGGAAAGCACGGCAGCTCGGCGACAGCACGGGCACGTCAAGCCATTTCAGCCGATGGTGAAGACTCTGTTCAAGACTGCACGATCGCATCAAGCCTGTTTCGAGTGTAGATTTCCTGTGTGCAAACTCCTTGTGCCTTGTCGACGGAAGGCAAACTGTGTGCAAACTCATTGTGTTTTCACACGTCAGCATGACGAGCACCGCAGGATTTGTGTGTTGTGTGGATTTGCGACTGTATCGCTGCAATGTGGATGTTCGGTGGTCCACTGGAAGCAGCAACCAAACCACGACGAACGGCAAGTAGGGACCAGGCACCAGCAGCCCAGCAGCTGCACTCGCGCAGCCAGTCTGAGGCATTGTGGAGGAGATCATGGGTTTCTTTGTGGCGCCTTTCGATGGAGATTATTCCTTCATGACCTGGGGACGAAACTTCCAGGACGGGGATTCGTGCGGAAACCCTTTCGGCCGGAAAGGATGGTTCGTAGTAGAGGTGAGGTAGGCCCAACATGCAGTTAAAGAGGCAAATGTCGCTTGAAGCCGCCCGCAGTTTCCCATGACGAAACTGCAACCCATGGTTTGTGCATGTTTCACAAACACTTCAATCTTGAGGACCCGCGACCCCAACGCCAAACTTCTGGTGTTTGGCCGTGCGCGAGTCCACCGACCCGAAAAAAAAACGAACGGCGGGGTGTTCGTTCGACTCGGTGAGGACGTGTGGTTGAGCGAGTCCACCGACCCGGCAGACATGATCCAGGTGGCCGAACGGCTTGACCATACCGGCTGCAGGAGAGGGACCGTGGGCGTCCCGAACAGTGTCCCGAACCGCTGGGAACTCCGGTTCATCGGTGGACATCGCAACCGGGACACCGAGTCGTCAGTTGCGCGGCCCCTCACCGAGCGGCCCCGAGCCGGCTCCTTGAAGGACCAGCTCGAGCCGTTAAAAATTGTCACCAGAAGGCATCTGAACATTAGGAACAAGAAGCTACTAGGGGCTGGAGCAAGGACGCTACTACAGTACATGGACCGAATATTCAAACTTTTGTATCAATAACTGTCGTCTTGAAACCTGATAGCGATGGCCAAAGACGCAGACAGGACACACAGCCGCCGAAGGGCGATCCACGCGGGTTGCTCCATCTTCTACAACGAACGTCATCATACCACGCCATACTGGGCAGCTGGTCTGCAGTTTAGGATCTCTGAAAAACGAGCAACGCAGAGAGTTGCTAGTGATACTAGACCTCTTGAAGCCTGGTCAGCGACAGTCTCTTGGTAGATTCCTTTACGGACAAGGACCGAGTGTGGCATCCCTATGCTCGGACTCTCCCAATCAGCAACTACTTGGAAGGAGGTTCGTTCATACTCGTAACACAAGTGCATGACTACTAGTAACAAGAAGCAAACGAACGCTAGAAGTCCTCGCTAGTCGGTTTTTTTGAGGCCATCGCTACTCGTTCGTCATGGCACAACCCGCGACCACGTCGTGTTCGACTCGATCCGCTCCGATCGGCCGAGCGGCCCAGCTTCACGTGGGCAGCTACGTGAAAGACAGCTTCGACGGGCAGGGCTTGGACCTGCGGACGCCTACGGAGGTCACGGTGCCGCTACAACAAGGTGCCGAGAGATCGGTGAGCCAATAGGGAAGCCAATGATTTTGGAACAATATTGAGACATTTGGGAACCAAGAGTTCATCTAGTTTCGTGACATTTCAAACGGCTTTTGATCCTGTTTTTGTTGAGCTCCACCCATGGACCCAGACTCAAGGAATGTCTCAAACGTGGCCTGTTCTATCTTTCTTTTTCAGAATCCTTCCACACAGGCATCTCCAACCCAAAGGACACCGAAATCACACCGGACACACCGAGGCATTTGTTATTCGGTTTCCATTCCGCAGCATATCACGGACATCTCCTCCACCGCGGAGCGGAGCGCGGCAGCGCGGCGTCGCTCCGCGGACGGCAGGCGAGCGTCGCTTCTTCATGAAGCGCTCGGTGCACAGCGAGGACTGGCGGCCGGGCTTCGGCGACCGCCGGCGCCGTGCCACGGTTGAAACGAGATCGCGCCCTTCGATGCCGAAAACGGAGAAACACTGAGGAAGAAGGGGGCGACCTCTTCAATAGGGAATTGGACGGACAAGGCAGTGCATGCTTCTGAGTTTGAATGAATGCTTCTGAGTGCATTTCCTTGGTTTTTTTCGACTTCGAGTCGCAACCGCCCAAGGTCGTGCCTTCCAGGCAACGGGTCTGCGTATCCATAAGCCGGACCGGAGGGGGGAGCGAGACAGCGAGACGGCCGGATTTGTTGGGTTTTTCTTGAGGCTACGCCTTGTATCTTACAGGTGTATCTTACAGGTGTATCTTGCTCACTCCGCCTCGAAGCGAGCGAAAAAATCATTTGGAGTTTTGACGTAGCTGTCGACATCGATTCTCCTATCTATAGAGCTAACAGTCAATCCAGTGCCAACAGTGCCAAAAGTGCCATGAATGGTTTGCCAAATACGCCAGGGTCATGCGTTTTCCAACCACGGCCGTCTACCCTGCGAGAACGCTTCGGCCGTCTACCCTTGCAGGACCTTTCAAACCTCACTGCTCAGCAGAGGGAGCTACTGGCCGATCGAAAGAGTTGGCCAGAGACCCTTGGCAGTCGATCCGGACGGGGCGGCAGACCGGTCGTAGCGGGCTCGACGAAGCCCTGCAGACTGCAGACCATCGACTCATTCATAGCGGCTCTTGGGCTTCGCACATAGGGGCCCTGAGCTTCTCTAAAGTTGGGCCGGCTTTCAAACTTTATTTACGCTTTACTCTGGTTTACACCGAGAAGAACCGGAACTCGCCTCAGACCACTTGCCCCTGTCCTTTTGTGATCAACCCCGGCGTTTCTTGTTTTGGACAACATGGACAACCCACCAGGGCTGAAGGGAAGCACAGAGTTCGAATGGCATCTCTTAACTCTGTCTGAGGATCGTGAAGATCTCTCGCTTCATCTCGAAGAACGGCGGCCAGTGGCGCTTGGGAATTCGGGAGGATCCACAGGACGATGTGACCTGGACGGACACTTGGTGCTCGCAGCAAGACCGTCGATTTCGGGATTGAGGTCTAGTCCGGCCTGGTCCAGTTCTGGCCGAAGGCCGAATTGGGAGAACTCTTCGGAGATATTTTCAGAGTGCTCCATCAACCTTCCTCCTCCATACCTCGCCAATAACCACTCTACTGCCCAGGAGGGAGGGGAGCGAGAGAGCGAGAGAGAGAGAGAGAGGGAGGGAGAGAGGGAGAGAGGGAGAGAGAGGGAGAGAGATCAGGAAAGATGGAGATTTCCAAAGACTTTGGGAAGAGCCATAGAAGAAACATCATTCCTTTGGGGCCCATGTTGGGTTTCACGCTGAACGCCCAGAACTGGATCACCTGGAACTTTCACGAGTGGCATGTGACTTGGCCAGGGCGCAGGGAGTAAGTGCAGTGCATGGATGCCCGGTGAAAGGTTTTGGTTCAGGAGCACCAGTCATTAGGAGCCCACGGGGACTGCAACAGCGGTTGCTCTTCGACTGAGAATTGTTTGGTGACATGACAAAAAAGTCAAAAAAGCTTACTAGTAGCAAGAAGCTACTTGGTGGAGGCCATGGCTATTAGGTTGGAGGCCATTACTACTAGTAGCAAGAAGCCAAACAGCAGGCATATTCAATTGGCAAATTCTTTGCGCAGGTCACGGTCCGCAGGTGCACGTCTCGTCCATTCCGCTTCCTTTCCCTTTTGCACCCCTTCGGTGCCAAGCGGTCTGCGGCGGGGAAACGAGGTGTGCGAGGCATTGAATCAGGTGACCATGCCCAGCGGCACGAAGGCGCCGCCAGCGTTCGTTTTGGGCGGTCGACTGGACGCATGTTTTTGGTCGAGGAAGCTGGAAGTGACATGTTTTGGTCGACCGTCACGAATCGTGGACAGTCGCTTCACAGGTCTTTGTGGAAGGCTGGTGGCTGAACTCATATACCAGCAACTTGGCCGACAGGACGGTGGGACCTGAACATGATTCGGAGAGTAAGAAGATGAACTGCAACACTCGAGGCCTTTTTTGATCTGAAGAATTCTGAAGAACTTTCTGCTCTGAACCGAGCTTCGCATCCGTTGGACCTCCCAAGAAGGAGACTTCTCCGCTTTTCAAGCGTTCTCCGCTCCCGGGCTGGGCCAACCAGCGGCCTCTCGCATTCCGCGCGGCCTTAGGTGGTGAAGAGTCCGTGAATGAGTGGATGTTCTGGATTTGGCGTCCCATGGGCAACCTCCCCGCACTCGAGGCCCCGCACTCGAGTCTCTCTGTCTCAAAACGGTGGCCCGCGTTCCCGCGGCGTGTCATCTTGTTCGGTCCAAATCCGACAGGAGCCGAATCATAGATTCTATAGATTCTATGCCCATCTGGCATCGATTGAGAGGAGCTTGAATGTCAGAACTGCTTCCTTCTCCGCTTCTCATTCGGCTCACAGGTGGAATATGATCAGATGCGCAGCCGCGTTGAGGCGCGTCCCGGTTCGCTCCACGGTGACGTCCGGTGGGTCGAGGTCTCTCGAGCCGCCGCCAGGTGGCCACCATCACCGACGGCGACCCGGAGGATCTCTTCGTTTGGCCCTTGCCGGCCTCGCTCTTCCAGGACGGAGAGTGGGACGTTGACGGGTTTTCGGACCTCAGCATAGTGTGGATCTTCAAGTCTCCAGGTGTTTTTTCCCAGGTAAGGAGTGTGCAACAAACAACTCACCAGCCGAAGATGCTGACATCGCTTTGGTGTTTAGGAGGGTGCAGGGTTTCTAATGTAACTTTTTTGGCACGAGCCTGAGCGAATCAGCTGGAGCAGATGATAGCAAATATGATCAAAATGAGAACTTTGAAGTGGAGAAGTGGAGCAGGATGGAGCAGGCGATGGCCTCCAACGTACTAGCAATGGCCTCTAACCTGACCTACTAGTCGTGGCATCCACTATAGCGCACGGCAGCGAGTCGACAGGTGCCTGTGACGGAACCGGCAGTGAACTTGGTCGCCCGGGGCATCCGGGTGGCTGGGCAGCAGGGCAGTGGAAAGGGGCGGGAAGGTTGTTTTTGTGGTGTTCGACATGGGACAGCGGCAGTTGGGAGTTATGGTGGTTTTAGTAGGAGGGAAGGACGGGTGAGAGAGGACTCAGAGGATGTCGAAGCACTCATGCAGCTCATGTGTTAGATCGAGCCTGCTTTAGGTCTAGAGCTTGGTCTGAAACAGATTCTGGTTCCTCATGGGCGACCACTATCTCCTCAGTCGCGATGCGTGGCGCAAGGCCCAAGACAGTCCTCGAGCCGGCCCTGCCATGAGCAATCAGAGTGACCTGGATGAGGAGGTGGGAGTGGCAGAGACGAAAACGATTGAGGCAAGGGCAATGCCAGAGATGTGAGGATGTTAAGGGTTTGCTACATGCTGAAATAAGTGTTTTTCCCCAAACAGTTTACTGTTGGGGTTCTATCTTAGAAAGAAAAGAGCTGGCCGCGCCCCTGAACTCTGTGGCTGGGCTCTGTGGCTGGGCCTTGTCCTCCTTTTGTCCTCCTCTTGGCAGTGCCCCTGAACTCTGTCAACTCTGTGGGCCTTGTCCTCCTTTTGTCCTCCTCTTGGCCGCGCCCCTGAACCCTGTCAACTCTGTGGCTGGACTCTGTGGCCCGGCTCTGTGTCCGGGTCTTGTCCTCCTCTTGTCCTTGTCTTGGCCGCGCCCCTGAACTCTGTGGCTGGTCTCTGTGGCCCGGCTTACTGGAGAGGAGTGTGGCCGAACAAAGCGATGTCAATGCCGACAAAAATTCACTGATGAAGCAGTTTGCTCTTGGGGTGAAAGTAGGGCGTACCAAGAAATCGATTTTTGACTAATATTGGTCTAAACGAATCGTTTTGAAGCTGTTTGGGGCCTATGCTTGTACAATTTTTTCCACAACAATATCGACCATTTGGGATGCCTATGCCTAATTCTGACATGTCTTATTGGCTTCTTCGTTCCATTTTTGCAGGTCACATGGAGTAGAGTCGTTTGCAGGTGGACATGCCGACAGCCAATGCCTTTCACTTCTATTGTCCCCTGGGCTCCTTTAATGCGAGCAGCTGCAACGATGCCTTGGGCTGCGACTGGGGCCCCGTGGTGGAAGGCGGAGACCGAGCTGGGTGCCCTGCGTCAGATGAGCGAGTTCATTTCGGGGGACCCTTCCACACACGGGGTGGGTGTTTCACCTGCTACTAATCGCTACTAGGTTGGAGGCCACCAGTAGTAGGTTGGAGGCCATCACTAGTAGGTTGGAGGCCATGACTACTAGGTTGGACTACTAGGTTGGAGGCCATCACTAGTAGGTTGAGGCCATCACTAGTAGGTTGGAGGCCATGACTACTAGGTTGGAGGCCATCTAGTAGGTTGGAGGCCATCACCACTAGTAGGTTGGAGACCATCACTAGTAGGTTGGAGGCCATCTCTAGCAGGTTGGAGGCCATGACTACCAGGGGCCATCACTAGTAGGTTGGAGGCCATCACTAATAGGCAGGACCATCACTAGTAGGTTGGAGGCCATGACTAGTAGTCTAGTAGGTTGGAGGCCATCACGAGTAGGTTGGAGGCCATGACTAGTAGGTTGGATCACTAGCAGGTGGAGGCCATCGCTACTAGGTTGGAGGCCATCACTAGTAGGTTGGAGGCCATCGCTAGCAGGTTGGAGGCCATCAGTAGGTTGGAGGCCCTCGCTAGTACATAGGAGGCTATCGGTACTCACGAAAGGTAGATTCGGCTACCCGAGTTATTTTTGCTATAGCAATGTATTGTGGGTGGTGAATTGTTCCTGCGCTTGATTTCGATAGTTTTAGACAAGGTTTTTAAAATTTTTGGGGAGCTCCCCCCATTCAACTCCACCCTGCGCTGCTCAGAATTTGGGAGCGATCTGGTTTATCCACTGTGGTCTATTGCAATCTGTGTGGTCTATTGCTGGCTGCTGCTGCTGGTTGCTGCTTGCTGCTGGTTGCTGATTGCTGTACTGCTTGCTCCTTCCTGTACTGCTTGCTGCTGTGCTGATTGTTGCTTGTTGCTTGCTGCTGTTGCTGGTGCTGGTTGCTGCTTTCTGTTGGTTGCTGCTGTTGGTTGCTGCTCGTTGCTGCTGCTCGTTGCTGCTGCTCGTTGCCGCTGGTTGCTGCTGCTGCTGCTGCCGCTGTTGCTGTTGCTACTGCTGCTGCTCGTTGCCACTGGTTGCTGCTGTTTGCTGCTGCTGTTATTGCTGCTGGTTGCTGGTTGCTGGTTGCTGGTTGCTTCTGCTGCTGCTGCTGGTTGCTTGTGTTGCTGCTGCTGTTGGGGTGTTGCTGCTGTTGCTGTTGCTACTTCCTGCTGGTTGCTGCTGTTGCTTGAATGGCTGCTGTTGCTGGGGTGGTTGTGCATTGCCTGTGTTGGGGCGGGCACTGTTGGTGCTTTCTTTCTTTGCCCTCGACCATGACTTCTTTCAATTTCGTCTGCGCAGACCCCCCGAAACTGAACGAACACCAAGGGTTGTGGAGGCCAAACTTGTGTGAACTTTGGTGCTTTGCTGCTGCTGCTGCCGCTGCCGCTGCCGCTGCCGCTGCTGCTGCTGCTGCTTTGCTGGTTTGCTGCTGCTACTGGCTGCTTGCTCCTGCTCAGAATCTTCCAACCTCTACCTTTCGTCCACCTCCGTCGCCTCAAGTAGGTTGGAGGCCATCGCTACTAGGTAACTAGGTAGGCTGGAGGCCATCGCTAGTATCAGTAGTAGGTTGGAGGCCGTCACTAGTAGGTTGGAAACGTTGGCCATCGCTGGTACGTTGGAGGCCATCGCTGGTGAGTTGGAGGCCATCGCTAGTACGTTGGCCATCGCTAGTACGTTGGAGGCCATCGCTATAGTAGGTTGGAGGCCATCACTAGTAGGTTGGAGGCCATCGCTGGTATGTTGGAGGCCATCGCTAGTACGTTGGAGGCCATCGCTATAGCGCTATAGTAGGTTGGAGGCCATCACTAGTAGGTTAGAGGCCATCGCTGGTATGTTGGAGGCCATCGCTACTAGGTTGGAGGCCATCGTTAGTAGGTTGGAGGCCATCAATACTAGGTTGGAGGCCATGACTACTAGCTTGGATGCCATCCAGTAGGTTGGAGGCGATCACTAGTAGGGGCTAGTAGGTTAGAGGCCATCGCTAGTAGGTTGAAGGCCATCGCTAGTACGTTGGAGGCCATCGCTACTGGGTTGGAGGCCATCACTAGTGGGTTGGAGGCCATCGCTACTAGGTTG